GACAATGTTTCAGTAAGCTTGCGCTGGCTACTTTGGAAAATAAACTTCCATAATGCGAAACACATGTACATACATCACTATGGGCAGAGGCTGGACCTACCAAAAAAGCAGATTCAAACCATAAACAAGGGAAACTTAAAGTTAGTAAGCACAAATGAGACTTTCCATTAAAAAACTTTACGAAATATGTAACTGTAGGTTTGTATTAAACCCAGTTGTTTGAAGTTAGGACACATTTGTGAAAACATGTTACAGAAGCAGCATATAAAAGTACTGGTATTTGGATTCAATTACACTTTATAGAGCAACTCACTAGCAACTAAAGAGCTGTAATTCTTTGCCTAATAAAGCAACCTATATACCCTACTTACAGTACAGAAAAACTATTATTTCTTTCACTAAATTTATTTAGCATAAACTCAAAATTTCTACAGGATAATTTACTAATCACCACCACAAACTGTTAATTTATCTAAAACTCAGGCACCAGCAGCTCACTTGCACACTCCCACTCAGTGGTTTCAGTCCAAAGGCAGCAACAGCAGCCAGAATCACAAGCTTTTATATGACAGTGGATCAGAGCTGCACACAAAATCCATAACCAGTGACAGAATTTGGCCAAATAACTGCCAGCATCTGCACTGCCTCAAGCAGCCCTTCTTGTTCCTTCCCACCCCAATGCCAAACCTTCACCACAACCATATAACACTAAATGGTGCTGCAGGGTGAACCAAATTAAACCCCCACTTCTTGTTTTTAATCTTGAGGACTTCACCTTCACAGAGAGGTGCATCAGCCCAGCGGCTGGCATGGCACACAAGATGAAAGTAAGCAGCAGCAAACACTGTTTGCCCAACTGTATTAGGAAACACAACCTCCTTCAAGACATCCCTTAAATTTAAAGTTTCTCTGTCTACGTATAGCGGCTGCTTAGCCTCAGCAAGGCTAAAGCTGATTACAAACAACATCCACAGGTAACAGAAGACTAAACACACACAGAGGTGATTTGTAACACCACTGCATTCTGAGCATTGCAAGGAGGTGAGCCTGCATCACATCTAGTCCCACTGAGCAGGGACCTACCCTTACCAAAGCTGTCATTGCTTCTTTCCTTCATGATGCAGAGATTAATTTTTCCTTCTAAAGGGAATCTCTTCCTCCCACGTTAAGTCTTATGGCCCTGTCTAGTACTACTATTGTTTATACACAGTGTCCATAATGTCATTAAGGAAGAGTAAATTAGTCATAAGGGAAAGGGAAGGGAGAAAAACAGGGACATGAGACCAGACACTCAAAATACATCTGATTTAATCCTACAGAGTTTAATTCCACACTTCTTTTACTACATCTGAAATGGTTATCTCGCTTACCAAAATCAATCATCTGCTGTAGCTGTACATAGAATAAGTGAACCTGCATCTAACTCAAAATCAAGATGTGCAATTTTCTACTGCGCATTCTTCACATACCTCCTAAATCTAACATGATCACTCACTGAAGAATGGCACCCAACACTGTTCCGTGCATGTTAAAATTAAGTTAACTACACGTTAAGTATTTTCCTCACTGCTTGAAAGCATCTCTCTCAAGAAAGCACACCCATAAATTAAAATAAACACTGTTTTACACACTAAATGAACATACACCCATGATGATTATTAAAACTCAGCAATAATCTGCTATCTTGTACTGAACATATTTCTCAAGAAAAATCAAGTATTGCAGGAAAAAATCTCCAAAGACTAAACTTTCTTAGTTTTGTTTTTGCACAAATGAAATTGACAGTTCTGTAAACTCTCACCAATTAGCCAGTTTGTAATATCACTGAGACTCAGCTGTGTGTGGCCTAATAGATCTCAACTAGATTTCCAAGATAATGCTGTATTTATTCTTGGTGTTGCTATGTTGATATATGCAGAGACTCCTTCCGCACCCCTCCAATGGAGGTGGTGACCTGTGTAAGACTTCCACAACCAAAGGGACTTCTGCCTGTATTTTGGACTCCTGTATCCCTACTCAGAGAGAGGATGCAATCCAAAGACATTCAGAAAACCTTTAAAATGCATAAAAAAGTTTAGCGTTTCACAGTGTGCCCAGCATCGTAGGGCATCAAGCACACAAAAATCAAACTAAAAGAAACATTAAATACAGTCAATATTCTAAAGGACTTGAAAAGGGTATTCAGAAAAAGCAGTTTGCTAAGGGCTATCAAACAATCTGCTGGAAAATATAACCCATGAGATGTTAACTTTGTGTGCATACAAACAAATATTACATATACTTAAAGTCACCTCCTTTAATGCATTTGTCACACAGTATATAAACCCCAGTTTGGAGATTTTTTCAAAACAAAAACAGAAACAATCACTCTCATAGTAAATAAATTTTAGCTATTATTTCATGAAATAGAGATTTATGCTCAGGAAAGCAAAGCTTTATGTAATGACCTTCTAATCTTGAAATGTAATCTCACAGTGACCGTGACAAACTTCCACTCCACTTCCATCTCTGCTCCTCCTGATTTCAATGGCAATTATTTAGCCAAAAGATACATTTACTAAGTCAACTGTCATTGTTTCCAAGTAAAATATCTTGTGTTAGCAAATATTTATGCCACTGTTGATTAGAACGGTCGTAACAGAATTGGCATCTTCGCAGCCAGGCATTCTAAACGATATTTAGGTAGTTGGGCGTTTTTGACCTCCAAGTCAAATTCCATCGGTATGAGCAGCATGCTGTAGCTGCCCTTCCTCAGGGAACAAAATCCTGCCATACATTTGCTCAAAATAATTTTCACATCGCTAAATCCAGGCGGAAGGTATTGTTCAAAGGGGGGAGGGAGGGTGCGTAAAAATAACAACACAATGCAAAATAAAATGCAAAAGGCACCAACGGAGACCACACCGGACGGGAGAGGGACAAGCCTGAAAATGTAGTGCCTCCTTTATGAAACCAGCACAACTGCATGACGGTGCAGGATCCGGGCCGAGGGCTATGCAGTCGCTAAACACGGCCAACGCTGCCCGCCGACCCCGCGCTAGGCCCGCCTGCAGCCGTTCCTGTAAATAACCCTCAGAGGAGGGTTAATTAAAAATGGCGAGCAGCGTGGCTGCCTGCATACAATGAGCGGCCGGGCCGCGCCGCCCCGGGCAGGGCAGGACTCAAGCCCACCACCGGCAGGAGTGGGGACACCGGGCCGCGTCGGGCTAGGCCCCACTGCCCACCGCTCACCGCCCGGCAGCCCTCAGGACAGCCGCGCCCCCTTCCCCCGCAGAAGGCAAAACCCTCCCCCGAAATCACAACTACTTTGAGACAAACCCCAAAACCCCCTCATCCCGGCCGTCGGGACCCCTCGGGGCGCGGCTGCCTGTCCCCACCATCCGCCTCCCGGGTTCACCTCCCGACGGGGAGGCTTCCAGCCCCGCCAGGCCGAAGGTCCGGGCTCACGTCCGCACGCCTCGCCCCGGGGGCGAGGGGCTCCTTTTGTAGCAGCGCTTCCCCCGCATCCTCCCCCTCCCGCGATGCAAATTCCTGCGGAGCCCCCCCAACCCCGAGCCGCCTCCCGCGGCCCCGCACTGCTCCTCACCGCCTCAACTTTCCCCGGCCAAAGTGCCGCCGGGCGGAGCTCCCCGCGCCCCGGGAGGGGGATCCCCGGCTAGCCGCGGGACGGCGAGGGGCGGCCAGTCCGCTCGCAAAGGAGGGAAGGGCTGGGCGCGTGTTTACCGTGGAGGGAAGACGGGAGCTCCCCGCGGGGTAAGCGGCGCCGGGCGGGGGAGCCCCGAGAACCAGCAAGAGAAGGGCGAGAGGGGGAAACTCTCCTCAGAGTTGAGGGCGCAGGCCCTGCTCGGGCCGGGCTTTACCTTCCATCTCCATGTCCTCGGGCTCGCTCAGCTGCTGCTCCCCGGGCTTCTGGTGCTGCTGCTGCTGATGGTGGTTCATGTCGGGATGGGGCTCGGGATCAGCGGTGGCGGCGGCCTGGGCCTTTCCCGCTGGGGGCTGCAGGCCTGTGTCGGGAAGGGAAGGGGTGGAGGAGCGGCGGGGCCTCGGCAGCGGCCGGTACTGAGCACCCACCTCGGGGGGCTGCGGCTGGGCTCCGGCGGACAGGGAGCGGGTAGCCGGCGGAGGCAGCGAGACGCGCACGTATTTGCTCGCTATTCGCCCAATCTCGGCGGCGGCACCCGGTCGGGGGAAAGGGGTGGGGAGGAGGGACCGGCCGGGGGTGGCGGCTTCCCCGGGGGGCCGGAGGGGAGGGGACCGGGAGGAGGGGAGGGGGGGACGGGAGACCAGGAGTCAGGGCCCGGCGGCGGCGCCCGGCGCTTCCCCCTCCCCCGGCGAGGTGTCCCCGGCGCTGCGAAGTCGGGGAGGCGCCGCGGGGCCCCTCCTCTGCCCTCCCGCCCCCCCCAGCGCCCCGGCACAGCCGCTAGCCGACGCCTGGCTCACTGCTCCCGGCCCGCGGGCCGCCCCTGCTGCCCGTGCCCCGGCTCGCTGGTGCCGCTCCGCCGCCGCCAGCGCTCTCTTGTCTCAAAATGGCGGCTGCGGTAAACGCCGTGAAATGTCACATCCGCATGAGGGGCAGCCCAGCGAGCCGGGGAGGGGGAGGCAGCGCCGCGGCCGCCCCGGGAACAGCAGCCGCCGCCGCCGCCACAGGAGGCCGGAGGGGCGGGGCTACAGTGGCTGGGTTCGGGTCCTGGCGTCGCCGTGGTCTCCCCGAAGGCCGCCGCCGCCACCTGCGTGTAGCTCGGGGAGGGCGGCCGCTGCTGCCCATCGGCAGAGGCGCCGGGCCCCTCCCGACCTCTGCAGCGGACGCTCGCTTCTGCCGCCGTCCAGGAGTAGGGGCTTCGGCTCCACTTGAGGGAGGCCCGGGCCCTCTCCTCTTCCGCGAGCCCTCTCGCTGCAGACGCGGCGGCCCCCGCCGGGACTTCCCAGGGGCCGCGGGCCGGTATCGGTTTCTCAGGCCCCGCTGGGCTTCTGTGGGCATGTTTCCCCCTTATGCCCAGGCCCGCGTGTGTGCGGCTTGGTGCGGGGCTCACGGCGGAGCCGTTCCCAGACCTCTGCCCCAGCCTTGAAGCCGGGGCACAGGCATCAGCTGTGTCTGAAGTAAGCCTGGCAGGGCACCTCACTGCCTCGCGGCCCTAGGCCACACGTGTAGTGCATGGGCAGGCAGAAAGGGTGAGTTTGTGTGATGTGTGGGGAGAGGAAAAAGGAACGTGCTGTAAACAAGACTGTTCCTGACCTGGGTTGCTTGTGTGGAGAGCATAGTCATTGAATCATAAACTTACCGAATGGTTTGGATTGGAAGGGACCTTAAAGATCATCTAGTTCCAACCCCCTGCTATGGGCAGGGACCTGTCTGTGCTGGAAGGAGAAAGGAGGGGTGCAGGTAAATAAGTAACAACTGGACCAAGTCAGTTGGTCACATGAAGCAACTTCACTTAGGGATGAAAGAGTATGTGGAAGGCAATGGAGAGTTGTATTTAACAGTCCAGTATTTACTTCACGGGCTGGGGAAAAAGGCAGCTGAATCGTTTGTGAAGGGAAGGGTTCAGGACGTGCAAAATTTGGCCTCTTGAAGGGACTGAAAGTGTACCCAAAGCAGACAGTGCTGCTCTGACTGCAAGTGGATAAGTGAACTGAAAGTTTATTTTTGTTTCTAGTTTATAAAATGAGCAAGTCAAAAGCGACCTGGGGGACAAGTCCAGCCTGTCTGGGCTCCAGCTGGCCCCTTCATGGAGTCTGGAGGGGTGGGCAGGAGAGGAAAAGAATTTTCAAGTCTGAAGCTCTGCCTTAAGTAATAAAACTCTAGAAAGAGGGAAAGTAAGGGAAGTTGAAGATATTAGTGGGAAGATCAGGTTTTAAAAACAGCAAATTTGATATTTTACCTTCCAAAAAGTACATTCTAACTTTCCATGGTGTTCCCCTGAATTTTCAAAAGCTGTTTAAAGAAAAATGATTTATAATCTGGAAATGGTTTGTTACCATTGACCCAAGCAAAAACATAACATCTGCTAGACTTGGGTTTAAAATATCTTGACAAAAGAGGAGGATTAGGACAGAGGTTCAGACAGAGATTGATGCACTATCTTTAGTTTCTTAATGTCCTAAACTCTGAATTCCCTACTGCCAGTCTTCCCCTATAATTACCTCCCAGAACAATTGCTCTTTCCTAATGACTTCCATTCCAACCTCCTAAATCATACACAGGTTTAAACTCATCCCTCTGTCCTCCCTCCACGAGCCATCCTGAATACAGGATGAACCAGTATGTCACAACAACAAGGTGGGTACAGCTTATTACCCGATTCTTCAGCCATGGACACTGAGTCTGTGGGCAGAGAGCAACTGAGGAACACAATTTCACTGCTGCACAGATTGAGTCCCTAAAGTCAACCATAAGCTGATGTTATTGTAAGCATTAAACACATTCCATTATATACAAAAACTTCTTTGAGCTTCAGTTCATTTTAAGGTAACTGATTTTCCAAAATTGATGACTTCCTATGCTGGTTTAGAGGAGTAGAAGTCATGCAAAATGTAACTGTACAAACCTTTTGCTCTGGGAAGGCCAGTAAGGACGAGAGAGGCAGGAATTTTCTTGTCAGTAACTGGATGCAGGAGCGATGCGTCATCACTTTGTAAAGATGGCATATCACAGTCTAGCACTTGATTGTATATTCCTAATTTAACTGAACTTTTATCTTCTCAGAGTCCAGCTACAATCCAGACTAAATTACCTTATAATGTTTTGAAAAGACATGTGAAAATATATCATTTATAGTGTGTGAAAATAGCCATGAGTAAAAAGGAAAAAATCTATTGAGAATTGATTCAGGTACTTATTTTAAGAGGGAATAAATTTTAAGTATGTGTATATAATAATCTCAGATGCATCTATGAAGTAATTAATTAGTAGGCATTTTATACCATCTGACAGTGATTGTAGCACTGTGATTGGATTGTTTCTAGACAGGAAATAGAAATCTTATTAATTGCCAAGCCTAAGGTGAAGTGCAGGTCTCAACGTATTCTAATGTTTTACCCCAACTACATGAAAAATACTTATGCTGATTTTTTTTTTTCTGGTCCACTGCCACTCCATCCTGAAACTATGTTGTTCACCTTTCTTCAGTACAAGACACACAAACTGTTCTTTGAAGGAAAGGACAGTCACCTTTTGTATAACCACCTGGACACACCATTGCTGCCTGCATTTCACCCAACCTCTACTCCAGCATTAATACCCAGTCAGTTATTTCTCCAGCTGTTCCACAAATGCCTTCTATTTCCTTAATAAATGTGTTTCTGCACTGCACCTCCCATCCTCAACAGCCACATTCCTCTGCAAGTGATTCCTGTCTACTGTAGTTCTGATGGCAAATTCCTTGCTCAGAGGAGTTGGGCAAATCTCTGGCAAGGGTTATTGATACTCAAAAAATAAAGATCTTAAGTGGGAACATGATGAATACAATCTATGTATCCATTCCTATTGCTTTTATTCTTGTCCTTCTTTTTCTACTCTTTCATTTCTTACAGCCACTTACTGAATCTGGTCTAAATTTAGGCCTCTGTCCTATCAACTAACCCAGTCCCTCTTGGCCCCTGTGCCCACATGAAATGCTGGTGAAAGCTGCACCTGAGCAGAGGATTTTATCCTCCAGGTGAGGTGGTAGATTAGTAGGCAAAGGAGATCCCTTAATGTGTGCTCTGGAGGTCAACGGAGCTGTGAGACTGGCTGCAGCCTCCTGGCATTCTCTCCACATTAGTCATTGTAATGAGAGATGAAGTTAAAGAGCTGCTATCATCTTTAAAATGCCATTGAAGAAATGAGCTTCATTTTGTGAGGCTGGCCTGCTCCCGAACCTCCCTGAAATATAAAAATAAATCTAACTCAGGCTGTTTATTTTTAAAACGCTCTCAAGCCTGTGTTCCTCTGCATGTGTGGCAAGCTGAGCCTTCAGGAACGAGAGCGAGTCCTGGGTCTGCACTGTGTTTCTGCCCTCAAGGTGAGATATCCTAGCCATGTTGAAACCGGGGAGGCCCACCCTGCCCTGTTGGTGGGATTCCCCTGTCTTCAGCAGGGCCTTATGGCTACTGCAGGGAAAACTATAGGAGTGAACCACAGAAAAGTGGGCTGAAGGAAAGCAGGAAGGTGTTTGTCCCGCCCTTTGCCCCATGGCAGAGTCAGCTAGACCAGGAGTGTTTCTGCCAGTCTGTTGCTCTCCTCCCTGTTCCTCAGCTGCCTCAGGAAATCTTGCTTCTGTCTTTGCTCCATTTGCTGCCCTGGCTTCAGCTTCAGAGATGTCCTCTCCTGGCCAGTCTCTACACTTACTTCCAGCACCACTTATGGTGCTCCATAATGTGTGCAGGTGGCTATGTCTATAATTAAGAAAATTTATAGCCATTTAATGACAGAAGAGCAATTAAACCAGCACACTTAATATAGATGCACTAAACCAGCAAAACTGGGATTACTGTTTGTGCAGCTTACTCTGCTGTGTTTCTGGAGGAATATACATTAATGCAAATGTGCCTCTGTGCCAGCACCGTGCTTCCTCAAGACATTGAGTTTGCATATGGTGGACCATACCCACCATACCCAGGCTGCTTTCCCCACTCAGGCAGCCTCTTTTCATTTGTCACAGTTCTTCTCCTTCATTCCATATCCATGATCAGAGATGATTGGTACTACATGGATAAAAGTAGATAAAATATCCTCATGGTTGCCAGAAGCATTCTTTTTGCTTGTTTGTGGTCCTTCTGATGCTTTGCCCTATTGCTAATGCTGCCTGGTTTGCTTTGTACCTGAAGAGTGAAAGGTGGATCCCAGGAGACCTTATTTAGGGAACCAAAGAATCAAATCCGTTGTCCTGGACACTCTAGATGAACACAATGGCAAATCAGAGACCTTCCCATTCAACCAAGTGATCAGTGGCTCTTGCAAGCGCCTTCAAGCTGAGTGTTGGGAAGAAAATAATCACAAGCTCCTGCAGAACATGAGGTAAAAGGCAGAGAATGTTGTTAAAGGCATGAAACTGGGTGGAAAGACTAGATTAATTTGTTTGGCTGCAATGTATGTAGCTATAACAACTTGTTGTGCTGTTAGTGAGATGGATGAAGTTTCATGTCCTGTAAATGCATTTTCAGTGTTTTCTAACCCTCAGCATCTGCAATAAACCCAGACCTTCATGGCTTTTCTTTTCACAAAGTGACAAATAGCTCCAGATAACCCCAGTCTTTCTCTGAGCAGGGGTGGACCCAATGAGCTGTGAAAGTCACTCCCAACTGAAATTAATTCTATGGTTCTTTAATGAGGCAGCAATTTCCACAAAGTTTGCAGGAATATTATTTCAGTCTTCTTTCAGTCTTCTTCCTTTACCATTTTATGTTGAGGGCTACAGGCAGGCAGACAGTGAAATTCCTAAGCTCTGTTTCATCAAGAAACCAGGGTAAAATACATAATTACAAAATTTTCAGGGATGTTTTCAATTCAGAGCTCTTTGGTTTGATGATTTCTCTTTAACTGAACAAACATCTTTGAAGGAGAGATATAAATCATTAATAATCAAAGGTGGTAAATCCATTAGAACTTAATTGTAAATGCATCCATGATGCATTTACATGTTTTAAAGTACATTTTTGAGCAGTTATTCTAAGCCACATCTTTCATACAACTTTCACAGAGTCAAGGCATATAATTTCATTGCTGTTTAAGAGAAGAATTGTTGAACTTTCATTTTCACAATAAAACCAAGCCCATTTTCCTAAAAAGTTGTATGTCTACATCTAAGCTGCTAGGAGGTAACTCAGTCTCTGTTTACTACCACTGAAAAGTCCAGTGATTCATTTTTCTCATCAAATTTTGTTGGATACAGTAAACTATGAAGCCACATGTTACAGTGATATACATTCAAAGAAAAAAGGGAATGGAAGGTACTTTACTGGTCTATCTTTTCCTGTACAACTAAGGGTAGCTGTAAAAGTGGTGTCTCTGAGTAGAAGGCAGAAGGTGAAGCTGGAAAGTACCTATGCAATTAAGTACACTTGCAACAGCCCTTTTTAAAATACATGTGTTATTAATGGAAAATAAGTACTGACAATAAGAAAACGGATGCCTCTCATGCAGCATGGGTTGTTCTGCTGAAGCACATGACCAGCAGAGGTTCTCAAAATGCTTGTCACGTGGTGAATTTGAATAATCTGTACATTTCCACTATAAGGGAGGGGAGGTGCTTAAGATCCCTGTATTTACAAACAGGCAGCAAAAGATGAAGTAGCTTGTTGTGCACCACAGGTCATACAACAGCTAACTCACTGTCAGCACCAGAATGTGAGCTGTATATGTATTAGAGAAGTGAGTTGTGTGGTCTTTTTTAGAAAAAAAAATGATAGTTTGTATGTTCTGGCCATCCCTCTATCACGTATACAAGAAAAGGTGGTACAGAGTAGTGGAATGAAAATAAGGTGAATTCCTCAGGCACAGCATAGCAATTGATCACCTTGTTGCAAAGTTGCTGTTGTTTAAGTCTCTTGACTTTTGACACCAAAAGTAACTATCACATGTAATGGTATTTGGCCATTTGTCTATCCAGCTGTGAAGGATACTAAAGAATTTCTATTCCCTTTGCCAAGAAAGTTCTTGAAGACAAGAAGAAACTTTCCAGTTAAGGTAGCAGGCTGAGATTTAGGAAATGGGACTTCAGTTCTTGGCTTTGTCACAGACCTTTTCTGTGACATCTCCTCTACAAAGCACCTGATTACTCATCTAGAACACAACACACATTTAAGTTGGGTCTTGCTAACTAGAGGAGGTAGTTATGTATCAACAAATGTAGTTCTCTGCTTGTCTGATCACAGGAAAGGGTCACAAAGATGGGCAGGTACTGTCTCTGCTAAATAAAGTGTTTCCTGATGTTGAGTAGGTCTGCCAAGTGTTAGTGCTGCTAAGCAAACAAACCAGTATGCAAACTATTATGTTCAAGTGAAAATAAATATAGAATATAACATGGAAAATCTGAGTACTTCAAAATTTGAGCTGTTTCTCCTCCATGAAAGCACCTCCATTTGCCTGGCTGCGCATCAGATCCCCACCTGGATGCTGAGTTTAGCTCTTGTGTACTATGAAGCTAATGGCAGCACAGGCATCAGCATGAGACCTACAGTGCCATCTATCCACTGCAGTTTCCTTATCACCTTCCTCTACCTTCTTCAGAAGAAAATCCTGCCTCCACAAATCCTTCCCTTCTTTCAAGGGTCCACATTGATGATTGCCTCCTCTCTGCCAGATTCCTCTTCACCCTGGTCTTCACTTTATCCTGACAGTTTAACAAACGGCAGGGACAGCATAAGCATAGGTGATGCTATGGCTACATTGAATCTCTGTCTACCATATAAGGATAATCTGTGGTATATTAAGGGATAGATTTGATTTCTTTTCAATGTGTTACTTACATCTGTCAGAGTTCAGTATAAATGTAGGAACTGATCCTACAATTTGATCAGCTTAGGTAAACCCAATGAAGTCAGTGGAGTCTGCACAGGAGGATCGGATTCCAGTACTCCGCTTATTCTTTTAAGCTGTTTTACATGCAAACCTCACAAAACCTGTAGTCACAAAATCACCAAATAAAACAAGGGAACTGAGATCTGAAGTTAGCGTTTTTACGTCAAATGAAATGTTACAACATTGGCTGAATTAATCCATTTGGTTCAAGTGGCAGAGAAAAGATCGTAGAGAGGGAATAAATTAAAAGAGGCGAAACTAATAACGGAAACTTTTTAAAGATAAACTTAGGAAGATAAACCTTTTGCTTTGAAGTGAATAAACTAGGTCCTAGAAGACATAATTCTCTTTAGACCACTTTCAAATGCACTGATCATGCAGGGAGCTATGTGCAGGCAGATCCAGGAACCAATGTAGTGTCCTTCAGTGCCTTGAGTTTTGATTTCAGAAGGTCTCAGTAAAATGCACAAAAATATTTTTCCCTCTGTGTGTGTATGAAAGGAGTATTAGACTTACGAAGCTTCATTTTTCCTACAAGAAACTGCTGAAGTGAAAGCCCTTTGACTTTTGATAAAGATGGAACTGCTGAATTTTTCCCAGAGTAAGTTGTCTCCTAAGTATTATTAGGAATTTGAGTTCAGTAGGAGGAAGAAGTATATTGATTAGAAACCCTTGCTCTCTGATTGTTCAGATGTCGGCCCTATTGTAATCCTCCTGGTTTTTCTATGCTATCTGCCAGCTAGTAAAGCTGGAGAGGTCAAAGTGCAAGGAAGCCAAAAACCCAGGACAGAATTAAAAAAGATACCTTCACCCTCTTGTCATAAAAGCCTTAAGAAACAAATGAGATGGGGTTTTTGTTCCCCCCCCACAGGTATTTTCAGAGGCATATATGAACAGAAATGATTGCTACAGACATTTAAGCAGAGACTGAGAATTAAATGCTAGAAAACTGCTCCTATATGTGGGGTTTGATGAGGTGGAGTTTCTCACCACAGCAATGAGAATTGTGCAGAATGTTGCAGAGAGGAGGAAAATACCAATTAGAGTAATAGAAAGAGCAGGGCTGGGAGCACAGAGATAAACATCTGGAAGGCTCCCTGGGGCAATTGCATTTGAAGACTTAAAAATAGGAAGGATGAATTTAACCAGGATCCTGAAATGGAACTGAAACTGGTAAAGTTGTTTGGAATCACATAATTGCACTTTTTCCTATTATTAGTTTACATTCAGAGGTAGTTTACATTCAGAGGAGTTCAGGAAGCTGGACTTTTAAGGAGCATAGAAGAAGAACTAACAATAGAATGTGGGAGGCAAGATGAGAGCATGAATTAACATTTCCACAATGGTGAAGTCAAAGCAAAATGTGGCATCTCTCTACATTTATTTGTTCTTGATATTTAATAATGAATATTAATTATATTTGGTACAAGCTGTCTTGTGATTTGAATAGAAAAGTTACTTAAACATTCAGTTGGTGCTAACATCACAGCTCAAAGCAGGCTGTCATTATTTCAGCATGCCTTGCTTTCTAGGCAACCCCTCCTATATCCACTGTAGTGGAAGTGAAGTGGCCTTTCACTCAGGGTGCATTTTGGCTGAGCTTG